AGCCAGGAGTAAACCCTGTGCATAGCTGAGTGTGACCCAAAAAGAAAAAAAAAACAAGAAAAAGAAATAGTGTTGTTTGCAAGAGAAGGAGGTGTCTGCCATAGAGGCTGGCTGGAATGGGAGCTGGTTTGGGAGGCGCTGGGAGGAACACTGGGGACACTGGTGCTGGGCAATTATACTGGTGGAGGGATGAGCATTGGAACATTGTAAGACTGAAACCAATCATGAACAGCTTTGTAATGCTCTATCTCACGGTAATTCAATAAAATAGAAAATGGACATTAAAAAATAAGAAATGGTGTGGTTTGCACAGAAATTGACCAGAGAACGTTCTTCAATGTGGTTAGTCAACACAACAGATAGATGCTTTTTTGTTTGGAAACACAGCTGTGGAGCTCATTTCAAATGCAACCTCTGCTCCTTCAGCCTTGCGGTTCCTCACTTCCTCTTCCTTCTGGTGCTGATGGGGGAGTTCACCACAGCCATGCTCAGGGCAGTCCTGAAGCAGCTTCCTTCTGGCTGTGTTCTGTGCTTCAGATCCAAGTCCCCCAGAAGGTCCTGTTCACTGTCCTCATCTACCTGCGTGCCTAAGACTTGGTGTCTATGATTACCAGGCTGGTAAATGGCCTTATTCATCTTTTCCTTGACTGATTCCTGTTACTTCTCTGGTACCTACCTGCCTCCTGTTCTCAGCTCAGCTTCCTGAGCATCCTGGTAAGTGTCAGGTGAATCACGCCAACAACTTAGAGATTTGACATCTTGTCAAAACACAGAATTCCTTAAGAGCCAGCTGGGCCCTAGGCATTCACTTCTCCCCGCACGTGTCCCATTTCTCTCACCTCATCCCTCACTGCTCTGCTTTTCTGACCGTTTCCAATCACACTGACTCCGGTGGTGATTCCTACCAAGATCACCTCCAGAAATACCCATTCCAGTTCCCTTCCTCTCGAAGGACTTCTGTCAGATACCACCTTCTCACCATGATTTCCTTCACCGCAGGTTTAAAATTGCTGCGCCATTGTCTGAAACGCTTGGCTGTCTTCTTTCCCTCTTAGTTTTTCTTTATAGCATATATAACATATGTTGCATTTACTTGTCCTTTGTTGCTAGTGGAAGAGCACCATGGAAATTGTTTGGGGTTTTTTTTGGGTGGTGGGGTGGGGGATTACATTTAGCATTACTCAGGATGTACTCCTGACTCTGTGCTCAGGGATCACTCCTGGCAGAGCTCAGGGAAACAGATGTGGTGTTAATTCTGTGCTAGAATCAGACCTGGATGTACATATAAGGCAAGCATCCTATCTTCTGTACTCTATTTCCCGTGGTCATTTATTTATTGGTTTTTATTTTGTTTTTGGGCCTCTCCAGCCAGTGCTCAGAATTACTCCTGGCTCTGTGCTCAGGCCTCAGGGGTCCGTATTTGATACCTCTGATTGAACCTTGGTTGACCATGTGCAAGGCTAACTCTTACCCTCTGTATTATCTCTCCTGACCCACCTATTTTTTTTTTATTATTACATTCAGAGCATGTAAAATAGGACTGGCTCAGAGTGTTGTAAAGTACAAAGCATAGACTGGCTGGAAATGATGGATGCTGTTTTAACAGTGCTGTTTGGAGGAGCATCCTTGGAGCATTATCTTTGAAGTCCTTATATTCAATTATTAATGTGACAAGTATATTAACATATTAGCTGTGTTAAACTTTGATTTTATGTTGCAAGTGTTTTTGTAATCAAATATTTTTCGCTTTGTGGTTTTTAATTTAATTCTTTCATCTAAATACCTGGGTCTCTATTTAAAAGTCAGTTATAAATTTATTCTTCAAATATAATAAAGAATTTATCCTTCATTCTTAAAAAATGCTTGGGTTGAATGGAATTTACCTTATTTTAAGGGTTGATAAATTGGCTCATTTTCACCCAAATGTGGGTATGGTTTCTCCGATACCATTAAAAGGCATTCAAATTCTACCAAATTTGAAATGTTGGCATTTTTGGAGCTAAGTGTATTTTTCACGGAATGAAAGATACCCACCATTTTTACTATTTTCCTAATCTATTGAGTTTTTACTGTTCCTTTATATCTGAAGCACATTTATAGATTTGTAGTTTGCATTTAAAAAATATTTTTCCTATGTCTGTCCTAAACGTTTCTACTGTATATACTTATTTGAGAACACCGCTCTTTTTTTTTTTTTAGTGAAACACCATGAGGTACAGTTACAGACTTACAAAATTTTGTGATTGGGTTTCAGTTATACAATGATCAAGTACCCATCCCTCCACCAGTGCCCATTTTCCACCACCACGGGTCCCAGTATCCCTCCCACCCCCCCAACCCTGTATTCCAACTGCCTCTGTGGCAGGGCATTCCCTTTTGTTCTCTCTCTCTCCTTTTGGGTGTTGTGATTTGCAAGAGAGGCATTGAGTGGCAATCATGTTTGGTCTATACTCTACTTTCAGCATGCTTCTCCCATCCTGGGAGGATCCTCCCAAAACCCTTTATTTGGTGCTCCCTTGTCTATCTGAGCTCTTTTTTTTCCCCTAGCACATGTGGCTGGCCTCCAAGTCATGGAGCAAAATTCCTGGTAATAATCTTGGCCATTCTTGGGTGTTAGCCTCCTATTTTGTTATGTTATGTTCCCCAGATGAATGCAATCTTTCTGTGTCTATCCCGCTCTTTCTGACTCATTTCGCTTAACATGATACTTTCCATGTAGTACCACTTGTATGTAAATTTCATGACTTCATCTTTTCTAACAGCTACATAGTACTCCATTGTGTAAAGGTACCAAAGTTTCTTTAACCAATCATCTGTTCTCGGGCACTCAGCTTTTTCCAGATTCTGGCTATCATAGAGAGTGCTGCAATGAACAAACAAGTGCAGATGTCACTTTGACTATACTTTTTTGCCTCTCTGGGAAATATTGCCAGGAGTGATATTGCTGGATCAAATGGGAGCTCAATTTCTAATTTTTTGAGAATCGCCCATACTGTTTTCCAAAAGGGTTGAACCAGTCGGCATTCCTACCAGCAGTGAAGGAGGGTCCCTTTCTCCCCACATCTGTGTCAGCACGGGTTGCATTTGTTCTTGTGGATGTGGGCCAGACTCTGTGGTGTGAAATGATATCTCATTGTTGTTTTGTCTGCATCTCCCTGATGATTAATGTTGTGGAGCATTTTTTCATGTGCCTTTTAGCCATTTGGATTTCTTCTTTGAGAAAGTTTCTGTTCTTTTCATTGCCTCATTTTTTGATGGTGTTGGATGTTTTCTTCTTGTGGAGTTCAACCAGTACCTTGTATATCCTTGATATCAACCCCTTGTCAGATGTGTATTTGGCGAATATCCTTTCCCATGTTGTAGACTGTCTTTGTATTTTGGTCACTGTTTCTTTTGAAGTGCAGAAGCTTCTTAGTTTAAGATAGTCCCATTTGTCTATCTCTGTTTCACTTGCTTGGCCAGTGGCATGACATCTTTGAAGATACCATTAACTTCAATATCATGGAGGGTTTTGCCAACTTTGTCTTCAGTGAACTTTATGGATTCCAGTCTAATGTTGAGGTCTTTAATCCATTTTGATCTTATTTTTGTACATGGCGTTAGGCAGAGATCTCAGCCCACTTTTTTGCATGTAGCTGTCCAGTTTTGCCAGCACAGTTTGTTAAAGAGGCTTTCCCTGCTCCACTTCACTTTTCTTGCCCCCTTACCGAAGATTAGATGATCATATGATTGGGGGGAGATGTCTGTATATTCAACCCTGTTCCATTGGTCTACAGCTCTGCCTTTGCTTCAGTACCATGCTGTTTTAATTATTACTGCTTTGTAGTAGAGCTTGAAGTTAGGGAGGTTGATTCCTCCCATTTTCTTTTTCCCAAGAATTCCTTTAGCTATTTGTGGGTGCTTATTGTTCCATATGAATTTCAGGAGTGTTTGCTCCATTTCTTCGATGAATGTCATGGGTACCATTATAGGGATCGCATTGAATTTGTACAGTGCTTTGGGAAGTATTGCCATTTTGACAATGTTAATTCTCCCCATCCATGAACAGGGGATATTTTTCCATTTCCTCGTGTCCTCTTTTTTTTTTCCTGAAGTAGCATTTTGTAGTTTTCTTTGTACAGGTCCTTTACTTCCTTAATTAAGCTGATTCCTAGGTACTTGATTTTCTGGAGCACAATTGTGAGAGGCATTGTTTTCTTCATGTCACTTTCTTCTCTTTCACTATTTGCGTATGGGAAAGCCATGGACTTTTGGGTATTGATTTTATAGCCTGCAACTTTACTATACAAGTCTATTGGAACACTGCTCTCTTAGAATACGGTTTTATCCATAGATTTGTACCAAATGGGCTAATACTGATATGTACAGGGAAACAGGTGAAGCAGATCACTGTCTTTCATTATCAGTCAATTTTCAGTTTAGGCTAATCTGGTGCTTTTCTGTTGTTTCTTGTTAACTGATGTATCTGTTTTGTCCTGTGTTTGATGTTTCCTGCACCTATGCTGTTTGCTATTTGGCAAGTTTCTGAAACCCTTCAAGGCTTAGTTTTCTCATTTCTAAAAGGAGACTTTCTGTTCATCATCAAATAATGGTATATATTCACTGAGTCACTTAATTTCTGTTCAAATTAACCTAGGACTAAAAATGATCTGGAGTCATCCAGTGAAGTTGAGGACAAGGGTAGAAATAATCTCCTTTTTGAGAGCTTTATTGGCAAAAAAGGGAACTTAATCTTTAGAGAAATTGTGCATCATTTTACTCACGAATTGGGCCCTGAGGGACCTCAGTGTGCATCCAGATGGTTGGGCTGGGATGGATGAGCTGCTTCCTTCATGAGACCCCACAACCCTGACACACAGCAGTGGGGCTGTCTGCTCTGGGAACGCTGAGTGTGTCTTTGTGGGATGTCCATCAGAAAATGGTCCCTATTCCGAATGCTGCCTCCTTGCCCGTGGCAGCTGCTATGCCCAGACTCACGTGATGCCTGTCTTTCATTGCAGACCCACTCTGAGGAGAGGCCCTTCCAGTGCGAGGAGTGCCAAGCACTGTTCCGGACTCCATTTTCTCTGCAGAGACACCTGCTCATACACAACAGTGAGTCACCATACAGATGAAGGACGAAGAATCCCCTAACCCTGGAGCTGTGGGTCATTTAAGAATATAGACTTCAGGGAAGTGACCTGGAAGTAGTTATCTGATCCACTATTTTCTGGGGGGCTAGGGGTTTGAGTCTCAGCCAACTGTACTTAGAGCTTACTCCTAGCTCTGTGCTCAGGAATTGAACCAATGTCAGCAATATTCAAGGCAAGTCTTTCTTGCTGACTGGCTCTCTGACCCTATTACCCACTTCAAAAAATGAAGGGGATGGGGCCAGAAAGATAGTACAGCAGGTCAGATGCTTGCCTTGCACATGGCCAACCTGGGTTCAATCTCCAGCATCCCATCTAGTCCCCTGAGACCTCCAGGAGTAATCCATGAGCCCAGAGCCAGGAGTAAGCCCTCAGCACAGTCAAGTGTGGTCCCTCAATCAAAACAAACAGAAAACCCTAACCAAAAGTGAAAAGTCTTCTTCATGCTGCCTTCTACCTTCTCTTCCAGTAGCTTTGCCTTATTTTAATTTTTTCACAGCAAGAGGAATCAGTTAAAAGGCATTTTATTTTCTATCATTGGATCCTATTTACAATTTCTATCATTGCATCTTATTTACATCTGTATCTAAGGCCATTTCTTATGCTTGTTCGGTAAGGCATCTTGGAGGTTAGTGATGAAACAGGCCGTGATCCCTTCAAATGTAATGGCTCGAGATCCATGTCTGACTTTCTTGGACAGGCAGAACATGGACTGGGGAGATGTCTCTAGTGGTGGAGCATATAGCTGTCATGTGCAGTGCTGGGTGTGGCCCAAATGCAGCTCCTCAGTGACACCAGGTGCTTAACCCCATAAAAGCATGTAGTCTGCTATGATTGTACCATCCCTCAGATCCCTTGTGTGCTTGTCCCTTTTGCTCCCCCATTCTGGGTGAGGGGCTTTATTTAATTTTTCTTTCGAATAAGATTCCTCACAGGAAGTGAGCCCGGCAGTCCCGTCCTGAGCTATGTCTCGAGTAATAGTTATTAACCATCCTCCTGCAGGGCAGTGCATTAGTTGGAGATGTCACGGCTGAGCTCGGCTTTAAAGTGGGTTCAGTTGACGATGAGCCACCCAAGATTTACTGCACGTCTCTATTGAACATGAAAGAAAACGGCCCAAAAGAGATGACAGTTGTTGTTGCTTTAATGAGTTGTTTAATCAGCACAACTTCCCCTACACACCGTGTTCCTACTGCTCCTGAAATTTTTAATATTTCTGAGGCAAGCAAAACAATTACTCACTCTGACAACTGATGGTAGAGATAGTATCTGGAAGGAAATTTTCTCAGGCCAACTAGAAGCATCTAAAATGTATGTTAATAAAGACCTCAGGGTTCTTGTGAGTTGTGAGGGTGGGTGAGTGTGACTAAAGGTGTCTTTTCCATATGAAGGACCAGTCCAATGCCTGGCCATTCTGCATGCTGGCTTGACTTGCTATTTTCGTTACAAAGAAAAACGTTCCATTTAAGAAAAACAAATTGTCCTGTAGCAATGAATTTCCATCCCACTTCACTATCTTTTGATTATGGAAAAGTCACCATTAGGAGATGAATAAATTTTAGATGGGACATTTAGACCCATGAATGCCATCCCATCTAAGATGTGTACTCAACCTGGCCTGATGCTTAGGAACTGTTTCTTTGGAATGTTGAAATTCTGTTTTATATAACAGCAAGGAGTTTTTGATGTCAGGAATCCACTTCTGATTTCAGCTCACTGGTTCTCTTCTGCCTGAGATTCTGTCCTTGATTTAGTAATGATCAGTCTCATAACTAGTGACTTTCTGTTAGGAAACACCAATTATTTCCAATTTGATTATGACAATTTTTTTCCCTATTTTGAGCCAGAGTGCTGGTATATATTTTAACAGTCCTCAATACCTCTTTTGAGTTAGAGGGGTTCAGTTTTCCATACTGACAAATGAAATCTAGTGTTTTACCCTCACTCTTGCATCCATTTCTGATTTTAGTACTCTCGCTTACTGGTGCTCAGCAACCATATGTAGTGCCTGAGATTGAACCCAGGCCAGCTGCATGCAAGGCAAGCACCTTACCCCCGTACCCTCTCTCCAGCTCCTTGATGAGGTTTTAATACAAAAGCTGTTTGATTCACTTGAAAGTATAATGAGAGTACTCTCCTGGCAATAATCGTTAAGATTTTTTTAAGTTTTTCTCTATTTGAATTGATTTAGTATTATTAACATATACAGTCCTTTGGCATATGACAATTGTTTTTTACTGATTATACATTTTAAACAAATATAACTTTCAGATCTACTCTTTTGTTCTAAAAATTTGAGGAAATAATAGAATTTTTACAGTTTGTTTGTGGGCCATACCCAGCTCTGCTCAGGTCTGATTCCTAGCTCTGTGCTCAGGGATTGCTTCTGGTGACCCAAATGGCATGCTGGAGATTGAGCCCAGGTCAGCTGCATGCAAGTCAAAAGCCTTACCTGCTGTACTATTGTTCCAGCCCCAAGGATTTTTAATTTCTAAAGGTGTGCTAGTTTACATGGACTCTGGTTAGAAGTGTTTGGCTGAAATGAAGTAATTTCTTGTTTTGGAAAGTTAATATCTTTTTTGCTGTCATGCATATAAGATGTGAATGTTTGGCAGTATAATATAATTGTTCCTTGAAAAGGGAAATCTGTTGAAATTCTAGTTGGATTTATTCTTATAGCACTGGGCTATTTCTGAGGAAGCTGACGTCATCCAATGAACTACATGCATTGCCAAATGTATGAAATGCTAAAAAGTGAGATTTTGGTGTTCCCAAGAACAACAGAGAGTGTACATCTACAAACCTTTAAAGATACCTTAGAATCTTTGAAAAGAGTTTTTGGGATTTTGTCCCCACAAGCCAGACTATATCTGAGAAGGAAGTGTAAATCCTCACGGGTACTGAGGCTTTTCTAGGGCTGAAAGGGAAATTTCCATTCTTTCTTTCCATCTATCTGCTTCTATGGGAAGTAACCCCCATTTTGTATCTCAAAATATTAACTCATTTATTGCCTACATTTTCCAGTTAAACTGAAAATATTAAAAAGGTGGAAGATTTTTCTCTATTCACATAATTAGCATATGTAGAGCCTTTTAAGTACATGATAAACTTCTAGAACTGTAAAAGCAACAGAAAAAGAAGAATAAAAACAAAACATACTGGAGAAAATTCTCCCCTATGTAGGTCCGAATCAGCATTACCTGCAACCTGCTCTTGCATCTTATGTTTCTCTTATTTGACTTTTTATTTCTAAGGTGAGAGGACCTTTAAGTGCCATCACTGTGATGCCACCTTTAAGCGGAAGGACACCTTGAATGTCCACGTCCAAGTGGTCCATGAAAGACACAAGAAATACAGGTGTGAGCTCTGCAATAAGGCTTTTGTGACACCTTCTGTGCTCCGTAGTCATAAGAAGGTGAGTAGGGGATTTCTGGCCAGGCTTAGTTTATTTAAGCTTTAGGTCATGAGTCTCATTCTCATGTAATGGTTTTGTGATCATTTAACTTGTTTTCTCATAGTAAAAAGGAATGCCTGATGTCTTGAAGCCCTTCAGATATGTCTACTATCTTAAGTTTTTCAGAAAAAGACATTATTTTCCCTAGAAAGTCTAGATTTGCATATGAGTTCCCTCCAGCTAATCCTATCTAAGCTTGACTCATGGGTGGATCAGAAAAAAAGTATTCAGCCAATGGGATATTACCAGGTTTTATGTATTTTAATATTAACATAATTTTTACAATAAGCTTGACTGATGGATGGGTCAGAAAAAGTTTCAGTCAGTGGGAGCTTCTCAGGATTTATATATTTTGGTATTAACTTGATTTTTTAAGGAAAATGAATAGTGAATTTTATTTTTTTTAATTTTATCTTTTGAGAATCAGGTTTTTTTGGTTTTTTTTTTTTTGTCTTTTTGGGTCACACCCAGCTATGCACTGAGGTTATTCCTGGCTCATGCACTCAGAAATTACTTCTGACAGTGCTTGGGGGACCATATGGGATGCTGGGAATTGAACCCGGGTCGGCTGCATGCAAGGCAAACGCCCTACCCGCTGTGCTATCATCGCTCCAGCCCCGAGAATCAGATATTCTTAGTAATACTTTTTTTTTAAGCACCGGTCTAGACACACACACACACACACACAAAATTAACAGTACAAAGTACAAAGACTTTCTCTATACTCCCTGTCCACATTCTCTTCCCCTCTTTCCTGAGATTAAAGTATTGCTTGTTGGCAAAACCCATAAATGCTGCACAGTACTAAGAAGGAACCCTCTTGGAAAGTGTCCTTATGGGTTTTTACTTAATAATTTCCCTTCCAAAATAATAATTTTCAAAGCTTCTTCTGGTGCTTATGACTGACTGGTGTGTGGAACAAGTTCTGTTGGCTTGCTGGGACCCCTCATGTCTTACATCTCTGGGACCGCCAGAGGCTTGGGAACAGGGATAGAGGTTGGCAAGCATTTGCTCAACTCAAATAAAAGTGTTTGGACTTCTTGGTAATTAGAGGTGATTCTTTTGTTTTGTGGCTAAATCACAAGTAGATTAGAAGTTTTTTATTTGTCGAACAAGTACAATTTAAATGCATTTTTAAAATAGCAAAAATCCTGGTAACACATAAAAAGTGTAGTAACACATATGGCTTTGGAAAGAAATGTGGAGAATGGTAGCTTTTAGCCCTCTGCACATCACAGAATGATGTAGAAAAGTGACTCTCACTCTCCCTGGTCTTTATTATTTTGGAGGTGTGGGGGGCGGGAGGCACACCCAGCAGTGCTCACAACTAACTCCTGGCTCTGTGCTCTGGGATCACTCCTGGCTATTCTCAAGGGAGCATGTGGGATGCTGGGGATCAGATTTAGAGTCTGCTGCATGCAAAGCCACCCCCTGGTCTTTGTTTTGATGTGAATCTTTAATGTACATGTTTCCAAAGGAGTGAATAGCGTCATTTCTTGATCTTCAAATGCTCAGTGACAGTGATCTTTCTTAAATAACAGATCATTGTAGAATATACTTGGCAATGCTTTGGCTACTTCCTTCTCTTATCCGTTATTCATATAGCAACCTGTTTCCATGCTTTCTTATCCAAGTTTATACTTCTGTTTTAGCGTTAGTCCTCTGGTATATCTGAAAGCTAGCTAAACACAAAGCCACAGGAGTATTTTCATTCTTTTCATGACTAGACATTTTTGTTTGAAACTTCTACCACCCAAGAAACTTAGATCTTATGTGTGAGTGGTGAAATATTTATGTAGCAGCAGCAGTGGAAGTCCTGTGGATTTTATAAAGCTATTGCAAGTAAATTGGCAGTTACCTGCTTGGAACGATCCCTGGGTATAACAGTAGATGTATACAATTTCGAAACACCCTTGCATGCATCGAGAAAGCACTGCCGTATTTTGTCCCTTCTGTCAGCAGCAAGAGGACGATAGGTCTGGTGTATGTTAAAATGTTAGATCATTTACTTTAAATTGAACCCTAATGCGAACCAGTGGAGTGCAGCTCTTACTGAGGTGTGAAGAATGTATAACTGTTTTGTATAAGAACTCCTAGTGAAAATGGAAAGTTAAGTGCCTGCCAAGTGCAGGCTCAGGGATATGTCTGTTGTAGAGTGTCACTGGCCAGCGTATATGTCTCAAACTTGAATTTAATATTAATCCCCGCCCCCATTTTTTTCACTTTAATACTAAAGTTTATATGTGCACTTTTGGTAGATGGGTCCCGGGCTATCTCTATGTCCAGATCTCCTCTTTTCCCCCTGTACAAGGTATCTTGTCCAGTTCCTTGATGCCTGGTTGAGAGCAAAAAGTCTCTTATTGATCGCCCACCTCATTGATCACCCACCTCCAGTGTACGGTGGTCTAGATTTGTCCCAATTTGTCAATAAACCGTTCATTTTCCTAGTCTGAAGTCTGCAGCTGGAGCCCTGTCACCTGTATTCCCTTACTACATTTTAAAAATTTATTTATTTCTATTTTTTGTTTTAATTGAGTCACCATGAGATACAGTTACAAAGCAGTTCATAATCAGATTTCAGTCACTATCCAACACCCATCCTTCCATCAGTGTCCAATTCCCACCACCAAGTGACCCCAGTTGCTCTCCTATCACCCCCTCTACCCCCAGCCTGCTTCTATGACAGGCAATCTCTCTCTCTCTTCCGCCCCCCTCCCCGCACCCTCGCTTTTTGGGCATTATGGTTTGCAGATACTGAGAGGTTATCATGTTTGTGCCTTTACCTACTTTCTCCCTTGCTATTTTGTAACTTGTAACCAGGCTATAGTAGGACTGTACCCAGTGGCTCCCTGTCCCCTCACGTCCCCTTCACCTCCTGCTATGACTGTGTGCTCGAATGAGATACCTGCTGTACTGTGGTTCTTCTGGGCTCAGGTGAGAGCCACAACTTGGGAGAGGTGTTTGCACATTCAGTCGTGGCACTTCTGGAGGTTGTAGCTGAGTCCAGCTGCTCACCAGCCTCCTTGAGCTGGTGCATTGCCCACCTGGGAGATCTCTACATTGCCCACCCACCCACAAATGCTTGTGGGGGGCTCACGCCTAACCTTCCTGGTGGCAGAGCTGTTTAGTTGTGATGCTTTCTGGGGGTACCACCTTGGGTTGCAGAGTTTACACAGGCTCAGGGTACCCATAAATTGATTGTGGTGCCTGGTGTTTGAGAAGAAAGCTGCCAGGATCATGTGCTGCCCCTGCTGAGGACACAGGGGCCAACTCATGGCCTTCCGCTCGCAAAGCAAGCAGGCACTAGGGCTGCTTCTGAGCTGTCTCCTGACTTCACAGGCTTTATTTCAAAAGAGCTGTTTCTGTTTCCATTAGTCGAAATCGTTTCGAATAAAAATACTTGCAGTGTCAGGAATGTAGCTAAGTGGTCAATCACCTGCCTTGTGTGTGTGAGGCCCTGGGTGCAATGCCTCAGAACTGGGGATGGGAGGGAAATGCATGATACTTGCCAGTCACTTGCATCAACAGAGACCCAGGCCCCGGGGGTACTGCTTGGTGAAGTGTTGGTGACCCACTCCGTGTTTTTATTAATTTTTGGATTATCAATGACCCACTCTTATGCTCTTCTTAGCTTTAAGGTTATCAGTGAAATAAAAAAAAAAATTCTTAGGCCAGAGTGATAATACATTGGGTAAGGTGTTTGCCTTGCATGCGGCCAACACAGGTTCAATCCCCAGCATTGGCATTCAGTTCCCTGAGCACCGCCAGCAGTAATTTCTCAGTGCAGACCCAGGAGTAACCCCTGAGCATTGCTGGATGTGGCCCAAAAAGCGAAAAAAAAAATTCTTTAACTCACGTCATAAAGAGCGTGCAGGTATCTGAAGACGTTTACTTTCCTTGCCCTTCTTTTCCTTGTCCTGGTTGAGAAACTGCATTTGAGAGTAGTGCTGACTCTCCGTTATGGGATGAGCAGGCAGGGGTGGGGAGGTGCTGTTTGATGCTGGTGGAATCACTGTTCTCCCACAACAAGATTGTGAGATAACTTGAAAATATCCTGACTGCTTTGTCTATGCGGAGGTCACACTTGTTCCTTTGAACTCTTAATCTTTTATCAAAACCCATTTTTGATTCTACTCATCCGTCTTTGCTTGTGAGGTGGTCTTCTGCCCAGATTAAAAGTCTGCTGAGGACAGGAAGGCTCTTTCCAACTGACTGCTCCATTAACCCCTGTTGATGTAAAGGTCAAAGGCAGATTTATATTCCCTTTCTGCCTTTAAGTTAAATCAGTCCAGTAAGACAAGCATGGTGCAGGTAACGGATCACTTTATTGAGATTAATTCTGTCCTCTAGAGCTAAGTACACACAAAGAATGTGAAAAATGCTTCTAAGGAAGTGTTTTTTGGCGGCAACCCCAGGCAGCTGTGGCTCTCTACTGATTCCGCGCGTTTGCAAGCATGAGCCGGCTTTTTGTAAGTGGGTCATTTTTAGATGGGGGCTCCAAAAAGGCTTAAAAGTAAACTGCGGAATTATTTTCAAATTAGCACTAATGCACAGTTCTGAAGTTGTTTTTTTTCCTCAAAGACCCATGGGAACACCCATGATAAATTGGTGAAAATCTCATTGTGATAGTAAATCATTTTAATGAAACCTAATCCTTGGCAAAAATGGATTTACCATTGTCAGAGGCACTTCATCATTTTTTTTTACCTAATTCTTTATGTTTGTCCTCAACACATCTTATTCCTTTCTACTTAGACACATACAGGAGAAAAGGAGAAAATCTGCCCCTATTGTGGCCAGAAATTCGCCAGCAGTGGGACCTTGAGAGTTCACATCCGCAGCCACACAGGTATGTGCACAGCGAGCTGGGTACCATTTCGAGAAAGCAGGTTCCTCCAGGAACAGGCCTGGTGTCGTGTTAACAGAATACGTCCTGGCATATAAAGCAATCTTGACTGCTTTTCTTTTCCTGGAAGCATTATAGAACCCAATTCCTTGCTTGAAAAAATTTGGGAGTAAGTGTGTTTTCCCAAGAGATGTGAAGTATCTGAACTAGACATGATTTGACTGGTGGTGACACAGCTGCAACTTTCTAATAACTGGTGAAAGGAGTCATAGTTTATAGAAGGGCAAGTACACCTCTTCAAAAGACTCCCTGTAATTCACATCATTGGAACCTCTCAAATTTATAAGCCCTTTGAACATTGCTTAAAAGCAATAGAATTTCACTGGGAACACAGGTGAGGTGATATGACCCAAGTATCTGTAGTTTACTGGAGTTTACTGGAGATTTCTGTCTAAAGGGTTCCCTTCATTTCTCACGACTTCCTGCACATTTTATCCCATGGAATTGGCTGACCTCATAAAGGATGAATGAACAGATGAGTGGTCTTGAAAGAATCGCATAGAGATACACTTGGAAAGGTTCAGAAGAATCCTCATAGATGCCCTTACCAGAGCAGGGAGTTTAGCTTTTCTGATGTGAATTTTTCCAGAGCCTGAGACAGTGCCTATTTGGTTAATAACGACATGTTCAAGTAGGCTGAGAATCACCCAGGGATTATTAGTCATGGGGGCAGAAAAGCGCAGCAGTAGAGTATAAATTGGGAATATTTCTGGCTAAAATGAAAAAATGAGACCCATTAGTAATTACCACCTTCGGATTGCTTTGATACTTTGACATAAAACATATTAGCAAGAACAGCTGAAGTGCTTTAGATAACAGCTGAGATAATAATGGGTGCCCTAAAGAAGGAAAAGAAGGGGGTGTTTGCCAAGGCATAGCTGGAGAAAGGGAAGCACTCAAGACCAAGGCCAGCCTGCTCACAGAAGCGTAAGGCAGCAGAAAGAAGAAGCCAGAGGCAAAAAGCAGCCGTGGGCCAGGCACACCATGGATTCCCCGGACAGCAGCTCTGTGGGCACCGGGTGCTGGTTAGTACAGTTGTAGAGATGTGCCCTGCAACTGGCATGGAGCCTGGAATGGCACCAGGACCCCCTTCTAAGAGTGTGGACAGTAGCACAGACAGCGCAAGCATGATAGCAGCTAACCTCCATTCTTCACTGTCTTTCTGGGAGGATGGCTTCCATCCCCAGAAAACAGAACTGACAAGTCTGCTCCTCCAGTTTCCTGGCCTGTCTGTGGGTGCTAATATGCCGAGTTCTCGGACACAAGGAGGGTCGGGAGAATTGGGCAAAGCATATTTCAATAACCTGTCAGGATAAAATGCATACACTGCCCTGAAACTAAATGATGTCATTGAATTCATGACATCTCATGTCGTGTGTTTTACTAATCGGGTCATATGCTTTTATTTTACAGTTAGAAAGATTGGGTGTGAGAAAGAATAACTTGCTTGAACTAGTGCCTGTCCCCCCACCCAATTTTAATAATGAATTCAATATTAAATATTATCCTCATCCCTCTGCAAATAGATGAGAATAATATTTTAGCTCCAAGAATTTTAACTCCAAGAATTTTCTCTAACATATTATATATATATATATACATATATATATATATATATATGCAGGGTTTCTTATTGTTTTCCATAGTAGAATTATGTATCAAATCAAATTTGATATAAAGACTAGTCTGAAACCCCCCAAGTTTTATGCATGGATTCCTTATTTTTGTCTGCATGAATCTGTGTCAGATGTCATACAGATTCTGGCCTCCTCAGAATGTGATTACTCAACTCAAGAACTGACTGTTTAAATGTAGACAAGAGTGCCAAAGTGAACATTGGCATTTAGATGAATAAATCAACACCACAGGTGACATATATTTGTTCATACAAATAGAAAATTGCTTAGCTGTTTTCCTATAACAAGTTTTCCTTTTTTAAAATTAGACTCATTTAATTTTCTCTTTTGCAGGGTGGCTATATCCTGATGTGCTCTGTGGGCTTACCCCTGCCTCTGTGCTCACTTCTAGCAGGGCTTGGGGAGGGGACCATATGGAATGCCAGATATTGAACCTGGGTCATCCATGTGAAAGCAAATGCCCTACTTGCTGTACCATCTCTCTGAGCCCAGGACTCATTTAATTTTCACGGACTATAGCATCTGGGTAATTTTGATGTCATACCTACACCATTAGTGAATATGTTCAATAGCCCTGGTGGCCTTATGCCAGGCTGCTTGCTGGCATCTGGGCATCCAAGGTTGATCCGACATGGCCAGCAGATGTGAGGCTTCTCTGCTTGCTCTTTGTCTTCTTCCCAGTCACATCCATCCCTGACCTTCCCAAGACAGACCCCAGCCTGGTGATCACATGGGCTTGTGTGCTCAGCTGTAATAGTAAAGCTCTAGACATTCCTTTGTCTCTTACTAACTTGTCTTGTGAAGTTGCTCAGTTTCATGGAACTTTCCTTAGGGAAGCATAGCAGGGCAAGGGGCCGTAGGTTGTGTAAGTGTATTGGTTATGTACTGTTTGGAAGTCCCTGATACCAGAGCAGTCCTTGAGTAAAGATAAGGTGAGGATGGTAACACACACCAGTGGTCCAGTGCTGAGAAGGCCCCTCCGGATCACTGGGCTCATAACTGACCCCAGGCGCCTTCAAGTCACTCTTAATAGTTGTGACCCAGGGGAGTTTGCTTATTGGGCTTTAATTTGTTGCTATTCACTAATATCAGAAATTAACAGCTGAGAATATTTCAGAAATTAAAAGCTGAGCACTGTAGCACTGTCCTCCTGTTGTTCATCGATTTGCTCGAGCGGGCCCAGTAACGTCTCCATTGTTAGACTTGTTGTTACTATGTTAGGCATATTGAATACATCACGGATAGCTTGCCAGGCTTTGCCGTGCGGGCAAGATACTCTCAGAAGCTTGCCAGGCTCTCCGAGAGGGGTGGAGGAATTGAACCCAGATGGCTGTGCACAAGGCAAACGCCCTACTGCTATGCTATCGCTCCAGCCCCCAAAGCTGAGAATGTTTATTAATTTTTAATAATAAGCACATTCTATGATAATACAACCCATTTTTTTCCACAGATGATATCTACATCTTCCTAATTAGAAATACAATTAGATGAGAAGGGGGAGACATTGTTTCACATTTCTGACACTTTCTCCCATGACCTGTTCAAGAGGAAAGAGATTTTCACATCCGCTTATTTGTTATCTGCTTTATGTTCATTTGGTGCAGAATCAGCAGAAAATCTGATCTCAGTCTGACATGTTAGTGGAAGGGGGAGTTTAAAAAAATCCATTTAAAATATTTCTTAATATGTTATTGCACTACAAAGTCATTTTGAAGGCTGGTGATTATGAAGAATCAAAGTCATCTCAGTCAACTTTTGCTGTGTTGTTACACTAAAATCCACTGACATGTCTTATACTTCTGATTACTTACTGGTCTGGGTTTCTGTAAAACGCACACAGATAGCTGGACAGATGCTGGTCCACTGGGTTCTGAACTCTCCCACATGTGCTAATGTCATCACTGATCTCCCTGGTGTGTAAACTCAAAAAAGACAGCAGCGACGGCTCTATCTCTCCCGCCGCCCTCATTCAGTAGTCTCACACCGATTCCCCTACTCCGAGGAGGTCGATGGCGATGGGCAGGTGAAGGAAGGAACGAGGGCCAGGCTGGTTGATATCAGTTGCAGTTTATTCCAGTCCTCTCTCTATCCACTCCTGCCTCTGTCCTCTGCCTCTCCCTCCCCCATGCTACTTCATTCTCCTTCTCGATCCCCCTTCATCCTCCTTCTGACTCTGGAATCTGGATACTGAACTGAACCCGATTCCCTTTCTCCTCTTGTTCTGAGTTTGGATTCTGATCCCCCAGCTCACTCTTACAGTACAGTTAAATCCCAAAGCATGAGGGGTTGGGGTAACAATTACATATAGGTGTGGTCACAATCAATAGGGGTAGAATTCTTTCCCTCAGGGAAAGCTGCTTCTAGGACAGATACTCTCTCAGCAGGATGACCCACCCTAGAACGAAATCCTCTGGGTGTGTTTCTCCTCTCCTTGTCCAACAAACATATAAGCATTCATAATATAAATCATTTTGTATGGATACAGTAAGAAATACCTTAAACTTAGAGAATTGCTCTTCTAGGGCCATCTCGATCTCAGACTACAGTGCTCAGGCCAGATAGTCTTTCCTATCCCTAGCAGGGTCCTAGTCTCGTCATTGCTTTTGATCATGACAGCATTTGTCTATGATCAAACTCTTAACTTATAGTTAAGAATTGTGACACTTTGGCCTGGCCCATGTCGATGCCAGGGTAGCTCACCGCTTGCCCTGGGTCCATTCATTCCCTCATCGGTACCTTGCTTCTGGAGTGCTAGGAACTAAGGGCAACTGAGGCTTAAGTCGAGAAAGCAGATGCCCAGGAGTGAATAATATTCAAAACCAATTAAATCCTAAGTTACAAAGCAAAAGCATAATATTAACCATCTCCCTGTATCTATACAAAAAGGACATTGCATTAAAGTAAACTATTCATAAGACATAAGGAGAGGAGAAAGGCAATATTAAATTATAATACAAGTTCAGTGTCCTAGAAGGATCTGACCTTACAAATTAACAGAGTCTGATTAGGGGGAAAAGCTGATTAAGTGGTTGGAGAAGAGAGTATATAGAAGTGGGTGCAGATAAACGAAGGAATGGGAGTGACTCGGGAGCACTGTGATGGGTGTAACCTGATAAACCTAAGCTCCTGTGGCAAGGGAGAAAGGACAAAGCAATGTTATCCTACACCTGGGGAAGATCATTTGGAAGCTTTGGCATGTGGAAGCAGATAGAAGTTTCCTCAAATCCTAAATTATTGTTGACTGCTCTAATTCTTGCAATTGTTATAAATGCTATTCTTTTATTCATGCTAGCTGTTTGAAAATGA